TGCTCCCATTTCCACTTTCTCTCTGCTCCCTGGTGAGTCCAGAAAAGTCCAAGCATTTAATTCACTGTGAACATATCTGAACTCCAGGCCCTCAACTGGAAGCACTCAGGATCTAGGTCCCCCACTTGACTTGGGAGTCACCAGTCCTCATTGTGACCTACCCTCTCAGCTGCACACTTCCTGTCAAGGGAACTTAGTTCCCACGTTTCTCTTCCTTTCACCTACTAAACATCTGAGAGGAGGGGGGAAATGCACCGAGGGGGCCTCAGAGGTATGGGCAACACAGGAAGGAAGCGGGGGCAATGTGAATTTCCCCATAGTCAAAAGAAAAGGAAGAAGAGCTGGAGAAGCTCACCTGAAAAGCCAGGCTCACTTTTAGCAAATCATGGCATCCAGCGCGGCAGGGACCAAGTCTTTCCAATGCTGGGGGCAGAAAGGAAATAATCACAGAGTTGGACACCAAGTCCGGACTGCTCCCCTTTTAAGGGCAAGCCCATGGGGCGACTCTACAAAAACTCCCTCCTTCAAGGTTGCATTCCCACCACTTCCTCAGACCCCTTGAGGGACATCACAGGCCAAACTCTTTACTAGGGTCCTGCCCAAGCCCTCTGATCTTGTTTCGCCCTCTTCTTGAAGGGCTCTCTGCTCTAGGGACAGCTCCCGCCGCTAACCCTGGGCAGGCACTGCCCCCTCTCGGGCCTCGGCTTCTCCCGATTCAGAGGCCGGGTGGTCGCCCGGTCGGGAGCCGGCGAGCGTCGCGGCGGGCAACCAGCGCCCGCTTCCTGGAGTCGCTCACGTGCGCCGGCGCGGCGGGCCCGGCCCTTAAAGGGCCCAGCTGCCGGCAAAACTTGGGCGCCCGCCGGGAGCGGAAGACCGAGCTCCGTGAGGCCTGCGCGGGGCGAAGCACACGCTGCCCCCTGCTCTCCGCTTCCAGTGCCTGCTCAGCGGCTTCCTTCTTTCCCCAGTCCCTTTCTTTCCAAACACTGCCTCACCGGGCCCCCACGCACCTCCGCGACTTAAGGGACGCTCAAAGTTTGCAGCCACCGTGGCGAAGCGCGGCCTCAGGGGGCGGGGGCGGAGTTCAAGCGCAGCTCTCGCCTCCTCCCCCCACCCCCGCTCCGCCGCCTCGAGGCGTGCCCCGCACCCGCGGCTGAAGCCGGGGGTGGCCCCGGGTCGGGGGGCTGGTCCAAGGTCGCGTTCGGGCCCTAAGACCCGGCCTGGGCCACTGTGGGCGAGACAAGATGCAAAGAGCGGCCCGGGCCGCGGGGGTAACTCAGGGGTGAAGTGGGCCCTGAGGTCGCACCCGGGCGGACGGAGGTCCCGGGGTCGACACACGTGGGGCCGCCCCTGCGGGGACACCTCTACACCAGCCGGGCCCTCACCTCAGCCGCCGCCCGCCGCGGACGCCGATCCGCGCAGGCGGCTCCCGGCTCCGTCGCGGAGCCTGCGCGCGCCCGCCGCGCACGCACGCCCCGCCCCATCTCGCGGCGGGACGTGGCCGTGGGCGCGTGCGCGCGGGACCCCGAGGGTGGAGGCCCGCCCCGCCCTGCCGCCATGGAAACGGGCGTGCGCTGTCAGGGGCGGAGTCCACCCGGCGCTTTCCAGCTTCCCATAAACTACCGGGTAGCAGAAGGTGACTTAGCAACAACCTTGGCATCTAGGCTGGCAAGAGCATCACGAGAGCGTGGGGGGACGCCAGCCTAGTGACCCGCAGTAAAGAACCCGGCTGGGGTCCACGAAGCCCCACCAGAGAGGAGCGTTTAAAGGTCGTCGAGAAGTAAGAGCCGCGTAACCGTACAGTTTTAGGCTTTTGAACTGCCTGGGTCTTCCCACTTTGCTCTCACGGAGGCTTGGCAACAGGCCTGGGAACTGAGCCAGGCAGGGCCACTTGCTCCTGTTTTACAGATGAGGAAACTAAAGCCCAATCTGGGCTCAGGGAAGCTGATGGACATAACCTCTGGACAACGCAAAAATCATCTTCATGCATTCAACCCTCCACCCCCTCTTTCACCCTGCCCCACCACCTGGAGTACAGGGGTGATTATTAATCTACCCAACATTATTAAATACCACTCCATGCCAAAACAGTTCAGGGATTTGGTGATACTGAATGGACAAACCCAAGGTCCAGATATTTTTGGAGCTCTTCAGAGAAAAGAACCTTTCCAGGTTCCTCCCCCAGTGGCCCGGATGTGGCTGGAAGAGGTTGGTTGGTCAGCCCTTCTAGCCTAGTGTATTCTAGGTAACTGCCAGGTCAAGTATAAATGACTTGAACTCAGGTTCAATCTTCTGCTCGTGTTTCTGAGGGTCTACAAACCACAAAGCACTCTTCTAGGGCACAAAGATCAAACCGCCTCCTGAGAGGCCCAGTCTTGCAGTGGAAGGTTAAGAAAGGGGACAACTATGCACATAAGCTTGGCTACATGACAGGCTGGGTTAAGTTACCTGGTGTTCCTGACATGAAGAATTGATGTTTGGGAGATGAATCATCTTGTGGATCTCACTATTAACGCTAGTAAAGAGCAGACTGGGCAAAGACACACTTAATTCTGGCTTCCTTTTCCTTGGCCTCATAGTGTTCCTTCCACTGGCAGGAAATATTGAGCCTCATCCACAGGGTGAAACCTATCTCATTTCTCTGGTCAGTCTGGCAGAATGAACAGCTGAGCCTTTACAGGCACTGAGGACTGGGCTTATGAACATCAGGCACATTATCAAATCCTTTGGGTGCCCCAGGCAAGTGGGCTCTACACTTAGAAGCATTTCCTGTGAGACAAGGGTCAGCTCACCAGTGCAGAGACAGACCGCCTCTGCTGCATGGTTTTCATGGGTCAGCTCTCCTGCTTCTCAGAAGCTGATGAATTTCTCCCAGGAAACATTGTCTGAAGCTGTCTTTGCTTCATCTTGTTCTCTCTGCTCACTTCCTTTATCCTGGATGGGAAACTCCACAGTCCCAGGTCAGAGCTCAGGGCATGCTTTAGAAAGGAACTTCAGTGCCCCTGTCCTGAAAGGCATCTGCCTGTGGCTGGGATTGCAGGCTATCAGCCTGCCAGTCTTCATCTCAAGTTGCACAAACGGAGCACTCTACCCTTGACAGATCCCAGTAAGGCCTCTGCTAGCCACCAGGAGGCAGCAGTCAAGACATTTTATACTCCCCCTTGTAGCAAGTCTCAGCAGATCTGGTCACTAACCATTTGACATGTCCATGCTCTATTCCTAGTCCTATTTCACAATAGCACATACATATTGTCCTCTCATGACCCCAGATTTAGCCTTTGTCTCTTTCTGCCTTTTCCTCAGTCCAAAGAATCCCCACAGGGGCCCTTTAATTTCCCTTAGTGAATTTTCAGAGACTGTTTCCCCATGGCTTCTACCCTTAAAGGGACTGAATGTAGGAAGCCAAAGAGTGGCCATTCCCACCTTTTTTTGCCACCTCATGTTGCGAAGTCTTTGATAGTTCTCTTTGTCAATAGTTAGGTCCTCTAACTCAGATGACAGAGAATATATGTTCAGTGTAGGATGCTCTGCAAACCCTGTCACCAGTCATCTCCCACCTTCTGAAGGCTTTGATGCTGCACCCAGGATCCAGCCACTCACAGCCTAGTTAGGAATGCCCCTGCAGGACATGCCATGACTGAGAACCAGCCTCAAGTCACTCCAAGGCAGCTCCAGTTTCCTCTGGAAAGGCAGTCGTCTTCAAGTTAACAAAGGCAGAAAAATCTGAGTGAACCCCACTGCAACAAAAAGTGTACCAATATTCATCAGTCTGCCCTCTTTTCCCACTTCCTCTTTCCCAACCCCTGCCCCCATTCCATCCCAGTGACCACTATGCTCTCAGTTAGATCCCTTTTCCCACCACCCAGCTAAACAGCTATTTAGACAATCCTTGATCAAACAACACTGCCTTTTTGAGTTTAAATTTTATTTTACAAAAAGAGAAATAAAGAAAACTGATAGGCAGTTATACTGACTTACAATTGTTCTGTTTGCTTTTTTAAAAAAGTGACATGAAACACAAGTAAAAATAAATACGTCATAGAAACAGCCAGTTGCCCAGTCTCTGGGGCAGGAGCACCTGCCCTGCTGAGAGAAGAGGGAAGCCCATGATCACACCAGTAGCTGGAATGCCCAGCCACTGATGCTCCTCAAAGCCAGGCGCAGGTCCCAGGCCTCAGGGGGCGTCCTGAGGAAAGAAGACGGAAAACCAAAGCCAGATGCCAGGTCCCTGGGGCCATCCCATCTCCCCCAAGTCCTCCTGGCAGCAGTGTGGCCTTAGTGGTTATCCACTGTGACCCCCTCAACCCACCTGGATCCCCTTCCCCTGACCCCTCTGGAGAGGGTACAGGAAAAAACCAATCTTGGGCAGGCTGAGGAGATGATTCTGGTGAGTCCCCAGCCGACCCTGAGTAACACAACCAGATTAACAGTCAGTTTACACCCATGTGCACATAAGTATGTATGTGCACACATTCTCAGCTTCTCTCACACACACGCATGTACACACACATACACACATACACCCACACACACACACACCCTGGGCTGAGCTCTCTTCTAGGGGAGGATCCTGGGGCAGGTCACAGTATGAGGTCCCCTCTCTTCTGAGTATCATCCCAGTAGTGGTAATAGAGAGTACCCAAATCTCCCCTAGTCCTCTACACTACAGACTCTGCAGTCTGCCTGGCCTCTCCCTCTAACCTCTCCCAATGCACTAGCTTACTAGATCTGCAAGAGAGGAAAGGGTTAGACTCAGGTTCCTGGAGAGCAAAGAAGCTGGACACTGCCTGTTCAGGAAGTTCATCGTAAGACTCAGGTATATTCATAAAAGGCCTAAGGTCAAGCTAGTGGCACAGAACAGATATTAAGCGGTCACAGCAGAATACATAGGGCAGAAGAGAAGAGTCAGCAGGAAGGAAATGGAATCCAAAGGTAACTGATGAAGAGTGCAGCATTCTCAGACAGGCCATGAGGTGCAGATTTCCCAGGAACAGTGGGGGTGGGGGGAGGGGGTTTGGGGTTGGGAAAAGAGTTCTGTTTTTGTTGGGGAGGAAGCACTTAGCTGGGTGTACAGGAGACCATGGCTCAGAAGGGAGATTGATTTTCTGAGGAATCACAGGACTAGAAAATAGGATGAGAGGAATCATGGCCAGAACAGGAATGTTAAGCCCCCAGAAGACCTTCCCCAGAAATGAGGACTCAGTTCCAGAGAGATGTCTGGCTTAAACAGACTGAGGCAGAGGACCTTGCACTGCTGATAGCTTTGAGACCCCTTAAGTTTAGTTGTCTTTCAACCTATCAAACTTTACCCCAGCTATCTGCTTCATGCCCTGGAGTGGGAGATTTCGTATTTCATTGCGAATCACAAGTATATAGATATTCCACACACTAATTTCTAGGGAAGAAAGCTCCAAGGACCAGACAGAGTTATTCCTAAATCAAGAGATGAGATAGATGCTTAAGAAGCACAACTCCAGTGGGTGAAGACTAGAGATAACAAATCTAAAAAAGCAGATGATTCAACATTGTTCGTTTTCTTACTTAAATGGCTACTTGGTTCAATTTTTCTCTGCAAAGATATTAATGATAATCCTGAATTCTTAAGTTGTACTATATTCCCAAGGCTGAGGATTTAGGCTAAACCAGATGATTGGGGGTTGAGAGGCCCTTGGAAACATTCTGTGGAAGACAATAGTGAGGGAAAATGCCTAGGCCTGATCTTCTGTTCTTTTTAATATCACTTGGGCCTTGACGGTGAGGGGAAGCCACCACCAGGTATTTCTGATCAAAGAAGATACAAAACATGGTTCTTAGGCTCTGCGACATTTCCTGCTTCCCTCATACACATGCTCATGTTTGGTGTGTTTGCACACTTGCCATCAGCACATACAGACAGACAGCAGGAAAGTCAGAAGTGTTTTCAGGTTCATTAAAAAACAAAACCAAAAAACTGATAGCATTCCAATTTCTCATGATCCCACTCCCATCCCACCCCCCTACACAATATAAGCTCCATTTATCAAAGAAAAACCTTCTTAGCCAGGTTAGCCTCCCAAAACTATGACCTCTCCCAAAATGAAGCAAGACCCAGCGCCTGGAACCTCAGGTAAAGAACAGGCAGAAAATTCTGCCTCTCAGAATACCAATTCAGTTCCTGGTACCTTCAAAAGCCTGTTCCCCCAATGACTAGCTTAAGTCACTATTCCTTGCTGGGATAGTTTCTGGATTCTTTGAGCCTTTGCTGTGATTTCCTAGAGGCAAACACAGAAATATCCCTCTTGCACGCAAGCACACACACGCACACATGCATACTCACACACCCTCTGGAACCCAAGTGCTCCAGGGCCTTAGAGTCATCAGTTGTAGCCCAGGTTATATGCTCTGCAAATGAGAGATTCAAGAGTAAGCTCCTACTTGACCAACCTCAACCTGACAACAGCCCATTCCAAGTGAGTCCCTTCATTCTTGGGATGCATCTGAAAGAGAAAGCACTGGTTGGAACTGCTATTTTTAAATTATTAAAATAATTTGCATAGCTAAATTGTGTATCTAAGGCTTCTATGAATGAGTTAATAAGTGTCTGACAGGGTGCTTATGAAAACAGACAAAGCAAGCTCCGTAAATTCCACTTTTGGTGTAACTGAACAGCACACATGCACACATGCGTGTGTGCACACACACACACACACACACACACACACACATCAGCCATCTCCTTGCCTATTCTCTGGGGGTGATACCCCACAGTATAAGACCTGCCAACAATGGAAATGGGCTGGTCAGAAGAATTTCAGAAGCAGCTACTTATAGGGGCAACCTGGCTAAGCTGCCTTCAGGGCTGGGAAGAGGCAGATACAGCAGCAGCCCAGTGAGGAGGTACCCACAAGTAGGTAGTAAAGCTCTAAAGCCAGACAAGGTTTCTTCATCATAAAGAACTGTCTACCAAAATCTCAGTAGCAGGAGGGGGAAAGTAATGGAAGGCAGCCAGTGTTTATGGTTGAAGACTATTTGTCCCCTCCCCTGGCAAGAAATGAGAGTCCCAGAAAGACTGATGCTCTTTATGACAAAAGTCAGACTTAAGGCTCCCACAGAGGAAGGGGTCCTCCATGTTCCTTCAAAGAGGATAGAGGTAGCAGACACTAGGCCCACACTGACCATCTGATAGACTGGGAAAGATATCTCCCAATAGGAAATCAATAGTCTGTTCCCTCAACCAAGCAGTCACCTACGTACAAGTTTGCTGTTTAGCATGGAGAGCCTGTTTCTAAGGTCATCCCAGGAGGTCACAGCTCCAAATTTGGGGTGACTTATTTCCCAATAGTAAATTCTATGATCCCAAGTTTCAATCTCTGTGGAATGAGTTTTACCCCTACTAACTATTCAGTCACAGGATTTCCTGATCTACCTGAGAGGCCAACTCCTGAAAACATAGTTGATTTAATGTAAACCTTGGTCAATTCACTCTCTACCTGGAATATTTTTTTTACCAGGATCTGAGCTATCTTAAATTTCCCCTCCAACCTCCTACCCTCCTTACCCCTAACTTCCCTTCCCACCCTCCCACCCCCCCAAAAAACAAGACACGTGAAAAGTCCAAATAATAAATAATTGCCCATAAGAAATAAATTAACATGGAGCTCTCTAATGGGGAAGGAAAGGAAAGGCCACCAGGACAAGCAGCTGGGGGCTCAGTTCTGTCCTTGTGAATAATGTCTTTTCTGGCCACAACTATGACCTCTCACTCTCACACTGCAATGTTTCTCCCTCCCAGACTCAGCACAGATAAGCTCACACCCTGGAAAGGGAAATCTGCTCAGAGACAGCCACTGGGGAAAGAGACAGAAATTGATAAAGCCCATTTTCTCTGCTAATTTCCCCAAATTCTGAAACAAATGTGGCTCTGAAAACCAGGGACTCACGTTAGCTGGGCCTTCTCTTCACTCAACTAGAAGGAAACTTGTGGTTTCCATGGCTCTTCTCCTGGGCACACCCTGATGTTCATGCTAATAGTTGCCATGAACCACCACACTCTGATTTCCACTTTTAAAAAGATAATTCATTTTTTAGTTTCCCCCTTAGTCCCTCCCTCCCTCCCTTCCCTCCCACCTTCACCCCTGCTCCGTCACATACATGTATGTACACACACACACACACACACACACACACACACACACACACTCTTACTTTCTCTCTTTGCTTCTTTCTTACCCCCTAAAAAGACTCCACTTCAATGGAATCTCAGTCTGTCCTCCCCATCCACCCTATTTCATTTCCTTCCCCCTCCCTCCCCTCCCCTCTCCAGGTTAAGTCACCCAATAAGGCAGCTCTCTTGGGAGAGAATGTTCCCAAAGACAGAAATGGGATGTGAGCTTCTACACTCCAATGGGCAAGCAAGCAAGTAGACAGCATAAGCAAGGCAGGCAGGAAGAGAGGCAAAATGCCCTGCCCCCCCATTCCTGTTTTGGGTCCCTGATTTCCCACTATTGCTGCTCTGTTAGATTTTTTTTTTTGCCTCTTTTGTTAAACAGCAACAGAGTCTTGCCACTATGGTTAATCCCTCTTCTTTGTCCTCTTCCTTTTCCTTCCTGCTAAGTGCCCTATTCTGAGAAAGCCCAGATCACTGCCTTCCAGACTGGTGGGCAACCTGTTGGGAGCCCCAGAGTGAGGTGGAGAGGGGTTCCCCAGCTATTTCCCAGTGACCTCTATCACATCATCGTCCTTATCCTCATCATCATTGGAGCTGAACCCCACCTCGGCAACCTCATGAGAGTCAAATGGAGGCACCTGGGACCGAAGGAGGCCACCAGCTGGGTAGCCTGCATGTGGGGACATGTAGCCTGGGTAGACAGACATGCCCCGCGAAAGGTTGCTGGGCAAGACAGGGGAAGGAAAAGGCGCAAACATCCTTGGCTCGGACAGGAGTGGCTGTGAGAATGGGAGTGAGTAGCTGGGTAGTATCCCTGGTACAGAAGGGTTGAGCATGAAGGAGGGGTTGCTGGCAGTGACTGAGGTAGCCGTGGAAGAGGAACTGACGGGGCCTGCTGGCACCAGAGGGTCAGTAGTCACTGGAAACACCAGGCGGGCATCTGCCAGCAAATTGGACAGCTGGTAATAGGAGGGGGTACTGCCCATAAACAGGGAGTTCTCCCCGGCCTGGGAGGTGAAGGGAGGGGTGAGGTTATGGTTTAAGGAGACGGGTGGCATGGCAAACCCGCCAGAAACTGGATACCCGTGTTCATACGGCTGCACGGGGGCTGGCAGATGGCCCTTCCTGGAACGCCGGCGGGCTGACTCCTGGGCAGCAGTTGGTGTGGCCAATTTTCGCTTGTGGCCCCGTAAGTCCAACACTGGGTGTCTGTCACCACAGGGCTGGCCGGTCACCAAAAGGGAACTATTGAGGCAATGACCCCCGTGCCGAGGTTCAGTCCCGAGAGCTGTCCCAGGAACAGCACTGCTGTCCACAAGTTGGGCTGGGGGGCCAGGCAGGGCAGCATTGGAGCCCGGGGAACTCTGATGGGATTCACGGGCGGCAGCCACATCTGCATACTGCTGGAGCTCACTGATGATCTCTGGGCTGTCTGGAGAGACGGGCCTGGCCAGCCCCTCAGGGTCGGGGGCTTTGGGTGATGAGGCACTATGTCTGCCGTTGCTTGTGGACTCAAGAGAAGGCCCCTGGGAACCTGGGGGAAAAAATGTAGATAACTGAGAACCACAATGAACAGGGAGAAGAGGAGGGTAGAAGAAGAAACATCCATTTAAAAAAAAAAAATCCTGCCCTATGGTTCCCAAATGTCCAAACACATCACCCAGTCAAGTTTTCCCTAGTTACCACGAAGAAAAGCTTTGATCTGGGAAAGAAGTCTATCTGTGACAACACACATCACTTTTCTACACTCTAGTTTCCTGATCTGCAGAACGCCACCAATTTGAATCCTATGAGATAATGGGTAGGAAAGCTAAGAGAGCATTCCTATAACTTGTCAGACTTTCTGTGGACAAAACACAACCAGTGCCATAATGGGAGGAAAGAGGAAAACGAGTTTAAAAAGTGGACCATCCTCATTTAAAAAAAAACAAAACAAAATCTATGGTGACAGAAGATGATTAGGGCAACTGGGAAATCTGAATATGGACAGGCATATGAGGGAACATCATGGAATTAAGTTTTTTAGTGTAATAATGGTGGTGTGACTAGGAAGAGAATGTCCTTAATGTTAGGAGTGACATGTCTTCAACTTACAAGTAGTTCAAATAAGAAAAAGAGAGAAGAAAGTCTATGAGAATAATAACAGTCATTGGATGCAGGTGCAGGGTATATGGGTGTTCATAATGCTTTTCTTTCCATTTGTCTAAACATTTGCATGTAGGTATGAATATTTCCATAATAAAGCCTGGGAAATAAGCAGTCTAGCTCTTATACCTTGGTGGTTAGAAGGTAAATGATAACCACTCCCACAAAAGAGAACTCAGCAAGAGTTCCTAACATTGTTAATGTGCCACACATATACTCTGACCCGACAATCCCACTGCTACTTTATCCTACAGCTACAACCCACATGACTATGAACCAGTACTGTAAGAGGGAAGTACAAACAATTTAAATGTCCCAGGACAGGGGCTTCGCTGGTGGCGCAAGGGGTTAAGATGCAACCTATGAAGCTGTCCGAAGTCTCTGCAGCACTAGTTTGATCCCTGGCTGGCCAGGGAGCAATCCACATGGTGCAGCAGACCTCTCCTGACTCACCCGCTGCTCCCCTCAGCAGTGTATTTCAGTATCTCTGCCTGTTCTGTTCCCCACTCTGTCCCTGGTGAATCCTCTCACCCTCTACACCTCTGGCCTGTACCCCAGCTCTTATATGCATAAACAAATAAACCTTTAAAAAAAAAAATGTCCCAGCACAGGGTACTCAATAATGTACCATGTTACATATTTATCTAATAGCATCCCATGCAAACCTTCAATTTGGCATGTTTAGAAGAAATGATAAGAAATAAGCACAGAGATCTCAGCAGTGAATGAAAAAAGTAACAGTATACTATATTGTTTTAAAACATTTTAAAAAAGTATTATATATACATTTCATACATATACACATACTTCCCTGTACCAGGTATATATCTGGGGGGAAAAATGGAGAATACCACCTCCCAAAGGAGCAGCAAATGGGGAGAAAAAACTAACTTTTCACTTTATCCCTTTTTACACCTTTTGAATTGTGAACCAGGCATACATTATCTATCCAAAAATCAATCAAAAACCAAAATAATACCGTGTAGGTCAATGGAAAGTAGAAGTCACTATACCTGAGGCAGCCATACGACCATCTTCAGGGGCCTTTGGTTTGCCAGTCGCCCGGACAGCAAAGATCCGCCCATCACTGGTGCGGATATATGTCCCTGAGAAGAAAAATGAGGAAGACTGCTAGGAGCAGACATGAAACACAGTCAACCCTAGGAAACTCTGGCCCAGGCATCATGGTCTGGGAAACAGTTATAACATTAGGCCTCACATCCTTTCTCAAGGCCCCTGAAATGAGGAATGGGGTAACTGAGCTTTATTCCACAAACACTGACGGCATGATTACCCTGTACCAAACACTGTTCTAGACACCAAGGCACAGCTAGTCCAGCCACAACTTTGGCTCTGACTCTAGCCTGTGGGGACTTCCCAAACAGGACCATGTGAGTGCCTAAGAAGGAAGGCTACAGGCATTCCTTCCTAGCCTAAAGCATACTAGACATAGGCTGTTACTGACACAAAATATGTTTACCCACCCACAGCCCAAGATTCTTCATAAAAATGATAGCAAAATACAGGGGCCCTAATGCCCTTTTATTAAACTATTGACAAGCTCTTCTTTAGGCCCAACTCAATTCTGCTCAGCTCCTTAAACTGTCATTTTCAGATGGTTCCCCTACATGTGACACTCTCATAGGGTGAGTCCTATCCTCAACAGTTCAGGTCATATGTATTTATTCTGCATCCCAGTTCAGAATTCTCACCAAACAGAGGGGATGGCTCTCACCTTTCGTCCCACGGATGATGTGGATACTCTCACCAGCATTAATTCTTGCTTGAACATCTGTGGAGCTGTTGAGTCCAGGAATAACGATATCTAGTGATGACACAGACCTCAAATTTAGATTACACAGGATCTGACTTACAGAGGGAAAGAAAATGAAAAATGCAAAGTTCTTCAATGGTTTCGCTAAAAGCCTCTCAGTGGAGTAGAAGTCAGAACCAAGGAAGGTGAAGCAAGCAAGACTTCTCAGAATTGTCTAACAAAGAATACTATGAAAACAAGATTATGTTTTAGCAATCTGATCTTTCTGATCAATTTCCTTGATTTAAAAATTCATAACCTTTGATTTGGAAAATGTTTTTATTAAACAGTTATTTTCTATGCACTTTTTTCTCCTCCCTATGCTATCTACATGCATCTGCTCTACTGTACTTTAGGCCATGAAAGTGGCGCCATCCTCTTCCTTGTTGGCATTACTTCATATCTAACTAAAGAATGAAGAGAAAAGTATTTTCAAGAACCAGTAGAGAAGCAGAATTACAAGAGGCTATTTATATTTATTTCAAAAATTTTTTACAATGGCATTATTTTCATACTCAAAAAATCAATTTAGGTATTTTCATTAAAATTTTTGTATCATGAATATTTCTAGATAACAAGATGGAAAACAGCTTTCCTTCCCAATTACCATAAATCATAAAACCGATGGCTGGTGGATAGGATGCCCACCTCCTACCACTGCTCACAGGCCCACCATGTTCAATCTACATTAGACTCACAAAGAAAGAAACAAGAAGCTTTCAGATCAACCTGTTTGACAACTGCCCTTTATATGCAGCTAAGCCATACTCAGGTAGGACTCAATATACTCACAACTCTCTCAGACCAACTCTCTGTCACCCTAAGTGACATTTCCATAGTCTCTGCAGTACTCAAGTCTATCCCATCCACTAGACTCAAGGAAACCCAGGTCTGTGTTATTATTGTTAAGATAATTCATTAGAACACTAACTCCTCAAGATCAGCATTGCTATCTTCTCTATTTGTACCTACAGAGTCAGTATAGTTAAGGTCTAGAATACAAAAGGTGTTGACTAAATACTTCCTGAATGGACAAAATATTTTTGAAAGGGACAGCACCCCAGACAGAACCCAGGAGTTCCTGACCTGTTGTGGTGACCACCTTCTGTACAAGAACTCCCGCACGCTGCAGGTAGTTGATCGGGAAGTTCATAGCTGTATTTGTGCCAGAGGCAGAGCTTACACTGCCTCCCAGTGGGACGTGCCGGGGCATCATAGGGATGGGGGTCGACTGTACGGGACGAACACTAGCCACAGGCTTCTCATCACTCTTCAAGGTTGGTTGCCTGTAGGAAAGAAAAGCACACTGAGAGAGTTCAGCAAAACAAAACAGTCCTTCCTTACCTTTCTGCAATAGCTGTGGAGCCTCTCCAGACTTCCTCCAGACACCCTCAGTGTCTGCTAAGAGAAAGATCAGAAGAACCTGCAGGGTATGGTCAATTCAAAAGGAGAGCAGAGGCAATACTAAGAGCATCAGACAAAGAAGCAGTGAGGATAAGAATACTAAGAATCAAGAGGTCAATGAAATAACACCTTTTTGGAGTCATGAGACATCTGTTCCTCTAGAATTTGCACTGTCGACTGTAGGAATTGGTCCTTGGCAGGAAGTTAGAAGGAGGTAAAAGTGCAAGAAGGGAGAAAAAGTTTTTCAGACGACAGTGCATGCTAAGTTAAAGACAAATGGGTAGAATTTTCTCACTCACCTAAGGAAAAAGGGGTCACATGATCCCAAATGTTGAGGTAATTTTCAGAGGCAGTGCCAACTTAACTGTATTTACTCTCTGAAACCTCAAGTCTCAATTTGTAATGCAGAACCTCTCTCCTCCACATTACTTTTCATTGGGATCCTCCCGGCGCCAGTCTACAAGGTCCCCCTGTAGTCATGGACACCACAAAAGCAGGAGGAGCTAAAATGCTATGCACAAAAGCCTAGCTTCTAAATAGTACAAGGTCATGGCCAGCCAGAGTTCCAGCAGTGCATCTCCTAATACCAACATGCCAAAATGTTACCCCAATGTCAATGATGCATTTCTCACTCTTCACCTTCCTTTCCACTGGAAAGTGTTACCTGGAGAAAGCTACTCCTGATTTAAGATTTTTGAAATGGGGCCTCCCCGGTGGCGCAGCGGTTGAGCGCTGGGTTGCGAAGCTGCCCGCGGCCTCTGCGGCGCCGGTTCGATCCCCGGCTGCTCCCCGTCCGCCGGCGAGGGTCCCACATGGTGCGCAGACCTCTCCTGCCGCCCGCTGCTCCCCTTAGCAGTGTACCTCGGTCCTTCTGCCTGCTCTGCTCCCCGCTCTGGCTCTGGTGAATTCTCTCACCCTCCCGCGCTTCTGACTGTACCCAGTGCATGTATAAACAAAACAAACAAACAAACCAGCAAAACAAATAAATAAAGCATGCCTCTATAAAAAAAAAAAAAAAAAAGATTTTTGAAATGAAGTCCCGTCTCTGTCTCTAAGCTTTCTTAAGTCTTTGCCTGGGAAAAAGACTCCCTTGGATTGGTATGTTCTTCCTCACCTGACTGAAGACTGCCACGTGAACGATAACTTTCCACCATTCTTCTGTTGTAGTCAGTCTGCCTGACTGCACATCCCCATTGCTCTCAGGATGTTATGTCCCCCTTTGGGAAGTCCCTGGGTCTTGTAGGCCAGAAAGCATAGCAAGCTCATTAGATCTGGAGCCCGCACCCTCAATGTATGCCCAGGGTAGCGTGTAGAATGTCAGTCCCTGCCATCCCAGGATTCAGAAGAGTAACAGGTACTCAAGCCAGCACCGTACTCTGCAGGGACTAATGCTAGGAATTTCAGCAGGAAGACACCCTTACATGTACCCAGACAAGATAAGGAATGAGCAGGATCATGGAATGGCTCACCAAGTGCTGTGAGAGGTTGAAGCCTCCCACGGGGCTGGAGCTGGGCCAGAAAAGTCCAGCCCTTTTGTTACACCTTCTCCCCTCCCTCACATGGCTTTTCTCTCCCTGGATTCAGGCTTAGTCCATTCCTGCTGTTACATAGAAAAGTCCACTAAAGAGGAAAAAGGATGGAAGACAAGAAAGGAAGACATCCCAGTCTTGGAAAATTACACAGAAACAAAGTCTGTAAGCTTTGAAAGAGAGCAACACCTTCCACTTGAAAGCACCTTATTCGTAAAAAGTAGCAAAGATACTCACCAAAAGTTAGTCTTATATAAAATCTTACATGATTTCAGTTCCTTTTATTCTTACTTAACAACTTTTTAAAAATATCGAATCTTCAAAAGTTTGAAATCTATTCCCCTCAAATAAAACAATCTTTTATCTTTAATATAATCAAACATCTTAAAAATGCAAAGCAGGGCCTCCCTGGTGGTGCAGGCAGTTGAGCGCTGCACTATGAAGCTGTCCACAGCCTCTGCAGCGCTGGTTCGATCCCGGCCAGCTGGTTCGAATCCCACATGACGCGGCAGAACTCTCCTGTTGCGCCCGCTGCTCCCCTCAGCAGTGTATTTTGTCAGTCTGCCTGTTCTGTTCCCCACTCTGTCTCTGGTGAATCCTCTCACCCTCCTGCACATCTAGCCTGTACCCCAGTTCTTGTATAAAAATAAATAAATCTTTAAAAAAAAATGCAAAGCACTCAATCAGGTAGCTGATCTGGTAAGAACTATGAGGCACTTAGTCTTGAAATGAAAAAAAAAAAAATTAACCATAGATAACTAATTTCTTACACTGAGCCTCTCTTGTATTTAGCTTCCATCCTGTTCCCATTCTGACAGTTTTGACAGTTTTGTCCCTTGAGGCATTTTATTTTTTTGTATTATATTCTAGAACTTATTTATAGGGATGTATTACTTCCTTAGAATCCCAGGACTTTCCCTCCTGGGTGTTTTTGTCTTGCTTTTTCATGGTCCATGATGCCAGACAAACTCATAGGACAGGTGCAGGTTATTCTGCCGTTTTTCTAGACCTTTGAACTGCACATCAAATCTGAGACTGATCATTTCACACTTGTTTAACCTGTCTGTGAGGTTCACTGCAAATTCTCCAGCTCTGTGATCATCAGTGATTTCAAATTTGCAAAAACAGGGCCTCTCTGGTGGCTCAAGGGGTTAAGATGTAACCTATGAAACTATCTGCAGCCACTGCAGCACGAGTTCAATCCCTGGCCAGGGAGCTACCCACATAGGGCAGCAGACCTTTCCTGACTCACTTGCTGCTCCCCTCAGCAGTGTATTTCAGTCAATCTGCCTGTTCTGCTCCTCACTCTGTCTCTGGTGAATCCTCTCACCTCCTGCACCTCTGGCCCATACCCCAGTTCTTGTATGCATAAATAAATAAATCTTTAAAAAAAAACAAATTTGCAAAAATAACCATGCTTTATCATCATAATTAGAAACCAGAAGATGACTGGAGCACAATTTAATAATAACTGGTGTATGTCTGTCTTTTTGGCCTTGTTGGTGCTCTTGAGAATATCAGGCAAGACATTCACATGCACCATTAGGGAGGCATGGAGAGATGGCAGAAAAAAATTTTTTTTGCTGAGAATCAGGGCACAAGCACAGAGTGATATCCCATTAATAGCAGTTGACTCCCCCAAGACCCACAGAGGACCTGCAATCCAAGACCCATAGGGGACCTGTCATTCACCCTTAAACTTTTACTGCCATGAAAGGTCTAGGACCAAGGTACCATGGATAGAGGCAGTTGTATAAAAGGGCCAAGCCTCTGTGTTTGGGGAAGTTGTGCCTCTCCACAAGTCCAAAAGGACTCTCCTGAGTCACAAGGCCACCCTCATTTTTCCAGCCAGAGTCCACTTAAAACATCTGCGCTGAACTGCTTTGGTACCTCATCTAAGAGCAAAGCCTGTCAGTTCATAGCAGTTAAAGAACAAGTTGTAGGCTCTCCCTTTGTTTAAAAAAGAAACTAAAATAGATAAAAAGAAAAAAGAAACTGGGGGCCTCCTGGTGGTGCAGGGGTTAAAGTTTCAGTGCTATCAAGTTATTGCCAGCCACTGTGGCATGAGTTCAATTCCTGGCCAGGGAGCTACCCACATGGCGCAGCAGACCTCTCCTGTCTCACCCGCTGCTCCCCTCAGCAGTGTATTTCAGTCTGCCTATTCTGCTCGCCACCCTTTCTCTAGTGAATCCTCTCACCTCCTGCACCTCTGGCCTATACCCCAGTTCTTGTATGCTTAAGTAAATAAAATAAATCTTTAACAAAAGAAAATAAATAAAATGAAAATAATCAAGAAGTTTGGGCCTAGCTCAGTGGCAGATCTTTCTTCCCGCCCTGGCCCCCGCACCCCTTTTGTGGACTCACCAGTTTCTCTGACTGAAGGCAGGGATGCTGGTCAGGCTCTGGTCGCTGGCAGGATAATACTGCGCATATGACGGGCGGGTGTAGGGGACTGATGTGCGTTTGTCTTCCTCATAGCTTTTCTTTGCTGCTTTTTTCTCAGCCTTGGTCAGCTTGTGATCCTTCCGGTTAAGGAGCAATGACTCATGCTCAAAAGGCTCCTGGTGACACAGGAGGATGTTGATTTAATTACTTGTCTTTGTGCTGGCATGACTGATAATTCAGTGAGCCTTACTTGAAACCAAGAAAGCGCTAGTTATCCAGCACTAGTGAAGAGGCTGTTCACAGACACACAGGCAGGTTTACTGCCTTTCTGTCAAGAGTATGATTTACGACTATAATCTAGCACCAACTGGCTTTAGACAACCTAAGTCTACCTTTCATATCAAAAGGATGGGAGACTGCAGAGAATAAACAAACTACATCTTCAGAACTTATCCTCTTTCTTTTGGTTGAAAAACTTATTCTAGCCAAATTATTTCACATGGCTGAGCTCAACACTCCTAGGTCCAGACTAGGGATGGGGACTGCAATAGTCAAGGCAAAGAACCAGCCCACATGAAACAAAATTTCAGATTTCCTCCATGGAGACTACCCTAATGGGGGCTACATGCATACCAGGTTCTTACCTTGGTGATGAGGTGAGGGTACTTCACACAGGCAAGTTGCAGAACTGGCTCCTTGATTTCCTTTATGTTCAAGGATGCTTGGGGAGCTGGCTCCTTCTCAACAAAGTGCAGTAGATTCTCTACCTCCTTCCGTGTAAAGTTCAGCATTGGGTTGAGATCATCCACCACTCGATCTAGAAGGGAGAAGACATGGAGAAAGTCAGTACACGGCAGAGACTGCAAAAACACCACTACCAAGCTTGACAGAGAGAAAGGAGATGTGGGTGGCATTAATTGTCTCTAATACCTAAAACACCTCAAGCCGTCCCATATCTGAAGGTCAAAGACCAGGTCTGAGGCCCTGATGAAACAGAAACATCATTAAGAGAAACCTGTATAACTAGCTTGGCTCTTATCATTAAACCCACCTTCAACAAGCTGAGGTCAATCATCTCTTAAGCAACTGTATGAATCAGAACAAGATGGGACTGCTGACTTTCTGTCACTGATAGCCAGTCTATAGTCCCACATCCTCCCCCTCCCCAACCTTGATACAATAAGGAGGGTAGTCTTATGGTATGGGAGCCAAAAAGGATGGTATACATATGCCTCTCCTAAGCCCTGCCCAAGTCAGGAAGATGGCCCACCTGACATGCCCTGCTTCGAAATCTGACGGTCATAGATCTTCTTTTCGAGGGTAAAATCAGCCACAAGGCGATAGATGTGACAGGGCTTTTTCTGGCCATAACGATATACCCGACATACTGCCTGGGCATCATGGCAAGGGTTCCAGGAAGCATCAAACACCACCACACGGTTGGCACCAATTAGATTCACACCTAAGCATCCAGCCCTTTAAAAAACAAGCCAACAATCACAGAGCCTTTAATATTAAAGAAGATTTTCAAATAGTTACTCTCTGTGACTCTTACCCCAGTACCACCCTCTTTTTACTAAGCACAGTACACTATCTTCGCGATGAATGAGATATTTCTCAAGCACTGAAAAATAAGTCCTGGAAATCAAATATGGAAGTGCCTAGCAGCTCAGAAAGAAAACTCTCTACCTGTCTATAATGAGTAAGGTCCCCTGAGTGGTGTTCCTTGGTGAGGGAAATCATGTGCATACAAATGTTTCTGGTATTTTCAGTCTAACAGCTTAGGAGAATGACTGGTTCATACCTTCTATCAAGGGCATTCTGATGGCAGAAGGCAGCACAGTTTTCAAGCTGCTTGATATGAGACAAATAATGCCATCAGTCTTTTATAGTTACGTTGCACTTTCTACTTTTTAAAGCATTTTTCACATTCATCACATTGTCTAAGTCTCAGAACACTTCTGAAAGAAAAGCGAATAGTGATCATTGGTCATGAAAGTCTCAAAGAACTTCATGGCAATAACATGATTGCTCTTCTAATGCAACTTCCTTTGGGGTTCCCATTTTGACCTCAAAAATAAGTCACACACCTGAGCAATCTCTTCTGATAGAACTTGGTTGATCCTTTGGGGCACCTGCCCATGTGACCAAATGCCTTGAGCCCTCTGATTTTCACTCTCACAATCCACTCACCTTGTGGAGAGAAGGAACAGCCAGGTGGTGAGATTGCTGGGATCATTGAACTGATTAATGAGCCGCTCCCTCTCAAAGGCAGGGGTGCTACCATCTAGCCCTAGGAAAGAAACAACCACAAGTGGACAGATGAGGGTAGGGGTACACAGCAAAATCACTAGGCAAATGTGTTTTAAAAGCAAAACAAAACTAAACAAATTAGTTTCCGATCATAACCCCTGGACATGTATGGGTCTATTGTGAGTCCTAGGGATTTATAATTTTGAAATACTCCCAGGAGATTCTCACATACAACAGGATTTTAAACTGTTTTTCCCTTTAATATTTTGGGTCAGTGCTAAGGTGAAGGTTCCCAGAAGTTACGAGTGCCTAAGAATCACCCTAAACAAGGGATCATGGTAAACAGTGTCTCAAGATGGACTCTTTCAGTCCTGTGAACCCTGGTGATTGCAACAGGATCAAGGGTTTTGTGTTTTGGTATGAGTAATGTTCCTTGCCCAGAATCTACATTGTTAACAAGCTCATGAGGATAAGAACTTGCTACAAAGAGACAGAAAAGGAATAAATTGGTAGCAGTGGGATGGGACATATGAAAGAAAATAGGGGAGCTCAAATGAATGAAAAAAGGCAGCTTTCAAATAAGAAACCTGAGTAAGAGAGGAGGGGCAACATATGTTACCTGGACAAAGGGTAAAGTAAAAGTATGAAATAACACATGGATAACTAAATTATTATGGTAGTAGGAAGCATTAGTTTAATGCTGGTATTATAGGCTCTGTTAATGAGCACTCTAATCTACCTTTCTAGCTTGAGCTCCCACATTTCTGAGCACAACTCACCATTGATTCATTGGGCAGCCTCCAGGGTAGACCCTGTGTTGAAGGGGTCCCCTCACCATCTGGAGATAATTTTTGTTATTACACCCAGGTGAATACTACTGCCATCTAGTGAGTGGAGACCAGGGACACTGCTAAACATTCTACAAATGCACAGGACAGTCCTCTATGACAAAGAATTATCTGGCCTAAATGTCAGTATTTGGCCAGGAAGTACCGAAGGCCAATATTTTGCAACATTTTCTTTTTCACTACCACCCCTTTATAGAGCCTATTCATATTTTTCCCAATCATCACAGCTCTGTGAAATTTTTTTTTTTCCAGTAAGCATCATTTTTGTTTTTGTTTTTTAAAGATTTATTTATTTATTTATACAAGCACTGGACACAGTCAGAAGCGCGGGAGGGTAAGGGAATTCACCAGAGTCAGAGTGGGGAGCATAACGGGCAGACTGAAGAAATACACTGCTGAGGGGAGCAGTGGACGCAGCGGAGAGGTCTGTCGCACCATGTGGGACCCTCGCTGGCGGCTGGGGATCGAACCGGTGCTGCAGAGGCTGCAGGTAGCTTCTCAGCCCAGTGCTCAACCACTGCACCACCAGGGGAGGCCCCATTTTTTTTTTTTAACATTTATTTATTTATACAAGCACTGGGGTACAGGCTAGAGGTGCGGGAGGGTAAGAGAAGTCACCAGAGACAGAGTGGGGAGCAGAACAGGCAGAAGGACTGAAGTACACTGGTGAGGGGAGCAGCAGGCGAGAACAGGAGAGGTCTGCCGCGCCATGTGGGAATCTCCCTGGCCGGCCAGGAATCAAACCCGCACAGTAGAGGCTGCGGACAGCTTCACAGTGCTGCGCTCAACCCGCTGCACCGCCAGGGAGGCCCTCTTGTGAAATTTTAACACTACAGATATACGTAGATCTGTTTATGTACTATATGCATATTTGTAGCTTACACTCTAAAAAAGTTAAGGTTTTTTTCATTCCTCCAAGAACCAGTTTTCACTCCCTTAGGGATAACATCTTATAGAAAATGCACGGTCTAGGCTCTGCTCACTCTGCTCCTTTAACCTAGAATGATCTTTGGACTAAAGGGGCTTTGGATACTCAAACGGATACTCAAATTCTTGCTATCTTTTTTTTTTTAGATTTATTTATTTATACAAGAACTGGGGTACAGGTCAGAGGTGCAGGAGGGTGAGAGAATTCACCAGACAGAGCCGAAAGCAGAACAGGCAGTACAGGCGGACGGACCGAAGACACTGCTGAGTGGAGCAGTGGGCGAGGCAGGAGAGGACTGCTGCGCCATGGGGGTTTCTCCCTGGCCGGCCAGAAATCAAACCTGCGCTACAGAGGCTGCAGACAGCTTCACAGCACAGCGCTCAACCTGCTGCGCCACTGGGGAGGCCCAAATTCTTGTTATCTTTGCCAGTCAAGTTTTACTTCCTCCAGGAAGCTTTCTCCAACTATCCTCAAACATCCTTAGAATCCTTCAACCAATGCTACTTTATAGTTGTCCTCAACTTGTTATTTTGTAGATGAAGACATGACTTATGCCTTCTACCCCCATCATGCCCAAGCTCACACACAGCAGCTGACTCAGTATCTCCCTGTCCATTGGCTAACCAGATATTCCTACACATTTGATGGAGAATGGAGTTAAAAAAAAAAGAGAGAGGAGAGGGGGAGAGGAAGGGGGAGAGGAGGGGAATGGGGAGGGGAGGGGAAGGGGGAGGGAGGGGAGGGGAAGAAACCCTTAAGCAGATCTTGCCAAGGCTTCAGGAACAAAGCAGCAATAAACTCACGGAAGTAGCTGATGTTGCGAACCCACTTCTGTACTCCTTGCCCCTCAGCACCAGACAGACAGGGCACATCTCGTTTCCCTAGGAACTCCTCGATGAGAGCCAAGGTGGAAAGGCTCTGGCTGAAAGGGACAACATTTGGTTCAGAAGGCTCAGCGACCCAAAGGAATTTTATTCCCCACAGGCCCACTCACGTACAGCCTTTTGATAGTAGGAGCTCCCACAACCTACTCCTCAAAAGAAGTAACCCCACAAACTACCAAGGGTCTTCTCTCTAGTTCATAAATGGGAGCAGAGTCATCTACATTGTTTAGTCCTGTTACAGGGCAACCCCAATATAAAACGGGTTGCCTGACTGTGGGTCCTCACCCGCGTGCTTAAAAGGGACTTACACTTAGGTTCTCGCAAGTTCCCTTTGGGGATCATGGGATTTGTAGTTCCCAGTGTCTTGATGGAGTGGGGGTGGCATCCACAAAGCCTGTATGGAGTTTGCTCAGGACATCCTTTCCCCCTAACAGTCCCACCATCCCACTAAAAAATGCTCTCCCCTATTATTTCTCCAATTGAAAATTCCTGGGGCTTAGTTAAGTACACAGAAACAAACAGCATTCAGCAATAAAAACCAACACTGCATGAATATATATTAGAGTTAATTATAGGCCACAGGCAATAATATAGGTCTTACTAGGGCTACAGAATCATTTGGCTATTTCCAAGTTATGTAGAGAACCAGTCGCCTCAGAAGTGATCCATAAAACCAGTCGGACACTAGGTTCTCCCCAAGTTAGAATTACTGCTGTCCTCTCAAAGAGTGTCACATGTGAAAACTCTCACACTGAGGCTCCCAAACCAAGATTCTGCCACTTAGCAATCATTGGAACATAATCTAGTTAGAATAAAAAAGAAGATACAATCTACTTTATACTTCTTTTCTCTGAGGACTCAGGTATTGATGAGAATCAAAACTATGGCTAGATTAAGAGTGTGACTCTGGAATACATATTATTGCTTATTTGTCTTTAAATACAAAGCTTAAAAAAAAAAAAAAAAAAAAAGGACAGAGGCTTCCTTGCTCCTCCCTGGCTTGGTTCCACTGGCCTAGGAGTCCCACTTTATTTCTGTTCCTTTTCTCCTTAATAAAGTTTTTCTTTTTCTAAACCAAAAAACAAAGGAGTAGAAGTAGATTAGATCAGGCATCAGCAAATGTTTTCTGGAAAAGGGTCAGATAATAAATATTTTAGGCTTTGCAGATCATACAGTTGCTGCTATATATTCATATTCTTATTATTTTTTAACTCTTTAAAAATGTAAAAACTAGCTCTCAAGCTGTACAAAAACAGACCACAGGCTACATTTGGCCTAGGCCACAGTTTGAAGGCTTATGGGTTTTTTTTTTTTTTTTTTTAAAGATTTATTTATTTATTTATACAAGCACTGGGTACAGTCAGAAGCGTGGGAGGGTGAGAGAATTCACCAGAGTGGGGAGCAGAGCAGCCAGAAGGACCGAAGTACACTCCTGAGGGGAGCAGCGGGCGGCAGGAGAGGTCTGCGCGCCATGTGGGACCCTCCTCGGGTGGCCGGGGAGCAGCCGGGGATCGAACCGGCACTGCAGAGGCTGCGGGCAGCTTCGCAACCCAGCGTTCGCAACCCAGAGCTCAACCGCTGCGCCACTGGGGAGGCCCTGAAGGCCTATGGGTTTTAAGTTGTTTTCTGCAGAGCAATCTCACTGGGCAAATAAATAAAGAAACTCTAAGAAAGAGATGAAATGAGGTCTTCACAAGAAGCATGGGTTAAACTGGTTTGGAGAGAGAAAAGGGGGCTGGTGTAATCCCCGTTGGTCTACTCCACAGGGACTGTGTCGCTCTTTATCACAGACACACAGCATTCCTCAGGAATTTCTCTTCATACCTGAACACAAGGATCTTGTCCCCAAGCTTCACACTTTCTTCAATCAGGTGGAAAAGCAGTACCATCTTAGGAGAGTTCTCTAAGACTCCAGTCTGGTAATTAGTCAAAAGGTCCTTGGCCTGCAAGAGAAAACAGCTTGGAGCAGGTCCATGGCCAAATCTCTAGAAATAATATTTTCTCCCTCCAAGGCAGCAGCTCATAGTTCCCAGCAGAGACCCTAGCAGTGTAAGGCACTATACATTCTACACCCCTTCCCCACTTAGGCCTTGCACCTTTTCAGAAGTGTTTTATGTTCATAGAAGGATCTGCGTGACTCACCCATTCATACGTGACAATGTTGTTGCCTCGCTCCTGGAAAGGGTTGAAGCCGACCCCTTGTAGGAACTTGCTATTAGTTGCTTCTCCCATTGAGGAGGCCAAGGCACTGTCCTCCCCCTTGCCTTTTGTTCCCTGTGATGGGCAGCGGGCACTAGTCCCTGCTGAGCCAAGCTCTTCCACATCGAAGTCCTGCTCATTGGCCAGGTTCTCCTTCTGAAGGGCTTCATACAGCACATCAGGGTGATTCCAGATCTGAGGTTCAGGTTAAAGGAGAGAACACCGGGAGAGACTATATTAAGGATGCCCCAGGGAGTATGGAAACAGGCAACTGCTCAGATACATACCTCTCACAGCACACACTGTCGCACCATAAATTAAAATATCCACAACTCTTTCATAACCCAAGATCCTACACATTTATCTTCATTAACTGACTTTAATCACATGACACATGAATGGGCAAGTTCATACCAGGACCATTTATTATGTTTGGTACATAACCAAAAAAGGTTGTCACAAGTTTAGCATTCTTATTCAAGTAAGAGTAAGAATTACCGGAGCAACATGGCGGCGAGGAGACGCTGCGAGTAAGATCTCCCATTAAAAAAAGTTAATAGGGAGGAAAAGCGGCAGGTCCCAGTGAGAACTGGGACACGGAAGATAAACGGGTGACGCCAGCGAACTGCCCGAAGAAGAAACTGGCCATAAAAGAGGACCAGAAGGGAGGGAAGCGCAGAACCCTGCTCCCCTCCCCCGCCCACAGAGGCGGCACTCTCCGACTGGCAGAGAGGAGGAAACAACAAACCAAAACGACCCACAAGAACAAACGACGCAGCAAGCGGGACCGGGAGTGGAAAGGAACTATTGCAGCCACCACACCCCGTGAACGGGAGCTGAGGCGAACACTGCAGGATCCGCCGCGGCGGTGAGCGAACGGCTCCAGGCGCCATTAGAGAAGAACAAAGACCCCGGGAGACGCGCACACAGCCCGGGCTGCCGGGTGGGGGGAGGCGAAAAACAGCCCCCCAAGGACAATAGGAGAGATCTCTGGCGCCACCTAGCGACCAGGAAAAAAAAGTCACTAACACCCTATAAAACAGGACATTTTTTAAGACTGCTTGAAAAGGGCAGAAGGTTTCTGGAGGACCCAGTGGCCAGCCGGGAAGTTATTCCACGCCAGGCCCCTTCCGACCAGCAGTCTGAGCCCACAGAGGGAGCAGGCACCCACGTCCGGGGCAGACCGGGTGCGCAGAAGAGTGTGCCTGAAACCGGAGGCGCAGGGACTGCATCCCGCTTCGCCATTTGAGAACAGGGACATTTCTTCAGTAAAAACTGCCTAAAACCAGCAGAAAGCTCCCCCAGAAGACAGAGATGGCTCCTGGAAGAGCCAGAGGGGAGCGGAGAAGTTCACCCAAGATGTCAGTCAGTCCGAGCAACACAGTGTCCCAACGCATACGACAAATTAGAAAACAGACAGTAGGGAGTAGAAGAACCACACGCAACCTAAAAACTCCTCAGGAAAGAAGCACACCACAAAAAGAAAACCACTCCCCAGATTGCAACGACAGCAACTTGGAAGAACTTCTGAGCCTTCCAGAAAGAGAATTTAAAATTGCCATGATTAAAAAAGTGATAGATCAGAAGAAGGAAATTGAGTCCCTAAAGAGGGAAGTAAGAGAAATGCAGGAGATCAAAGAATTAATGGAGGAACTAAAGAACTCTGGGAAAAGCAATGAAAGCAGAATAGATGAAATGGAAGAACGAATAAGTAATCTTGAAGACACAGAAATAAAAAGAACCAAAACAGAAAAGGAAAGAGAAGTACGAAGGAAAAAGAATGAAGAAAGACTTCGGGAACTATCTGACTCCATGAGGAAAGGAAATATAAGAGTTATAGGAATTCCAGAAGGAGAGGAGAGAGATGTAGGAACAGAGAAAATATTCATGGATATAATTGAAGAGAACTTCCCAAATGAGAAGAAGGAGCTGAAAATTGATATACAAGAAGCAAGAAGAACACCAAACTTCCACGACGAAAGGAAAAACACAGCAAGACACATAATAGTAAAGCTCCCAAGAATCCAGGACAAGGAAAAAATAATGAAGCTGACAAGAGGGAAGAAACAGATAACATTCAAAGGAAAACCAATCAGGCTGACATCAGACTTCTCTGAAGAAACACTACGGGCAAGGAGAGAGTGGAGGGACATAGTCAACAGACTCCAAGAAAACAGATGCCAACCAAGAATACTCTATCCCGCAAAGCTCTCTTTCCTCCATGAAGAAAGAATATGGACCTTCCCAGACAAAGAGAAACTCCGGAATTTCATTGCGACTAAACCCCCACTCCAAAAAATACTACAAGGAATCCTAAAGCCAGAACCTCAGAGGGACGAATAACAACGAAAGAAGAGCAAAAAAAAAAAAAAAGTTATTAAAAGAATAAATAAATAAAATCAAAGGAAAGACAAACATAATGGCAAATACAGATGCTAACATATCAATATTAACTCTAAATGTAAATGGACTAAACTCTTCAATAAAAAGACACAGAGTTGCAGCCTGGATTAAGAAACAAAACCCAACCTTTTGCTGTCTCCAGGAAACACATTTAGCTACAAAAGATAAAAATAGGCTCAAAGTCAAAGGATGGAAAACAATCCTACAAGCAAATGGGCCAAAAAAGAAAGCAGGAACAGCTGTACTTATATCAGATAAAACAGACTTCAAACTCAAAAAAATAAAAAGAGACCCCAATGGTCACTACATTATGATTAAGGGGACAATACTTCAAGAAGAAATAACACTCATTAACATATACTCACCAAACGAAAGAGCACCAAAATATATCAGACAACTGTTGTCCTCTCTGAAAACAGACATCAGAGAAAACACATATGTAGTGGGAGACTTCAACACACCACTATCAACAATGGATAGATCAACAAGACAAAAAATAAGTAAAGAAACTAAAGCTCTAAATAAGGACCTAGAGCATTTGGGCTTAACAGACATCTATAGAACACTAAACCCAAAAAAAATGGAGTACACATTTTTCTCAAGCGCACATGGATCATTCTCCAGGATCGATCACATACTGGGGCACAAGACAAACATCAACAGATACACCAAGATTGAAATCATACCAACCATCTTTTCTGACCACGAAGGCATCAAACTAGAAATAAATCATAAAAAGAAGGCAAGGAACTATCCTACCTCATGGAGATTAAAAGCCACACTACTGGAAGACCACTGGACTAACGAGGAGATCAAAGAAGAAATTAAAAAATTCTTTGAATTGAATGACAAGGAGGACACCAATATCCTAAATGTATGGGATACAGCAAAAGCAGTAATAAGAGGAAAATATATAGCAATAGAAGCTCACATCAAAAAACAAGAAAGAACTCAAAGAAACAACCTAATCTCGAAGCTCAAAGATCTAGAAAAAGAACAACAAAAAAACCCCAGAACCAGTAGAAGAAAAGAAATAATAAAAACCAAAGCAGAAATAAATGAAATTGAAACTAAAAAACAATCCAAAAGATCAATGAAACCAAGAGCTGGTTCTTTGAAAAAATAAATAAAATAGACAAACCCCTAGCCAGGCTCACAAAGGAAAAAAGGGAGAAAGCACAAATACACAGAATCATAAATGAAAGAGGAGAAATCACAACGGACACAGCAGAAATCAAAAGAATAATCAGTAACTACTATGAACAGTTATATGGAAACAAGTTCAACAATCTAGAGGAGATGGACAAATTCCTACAACTCTACAATCACCCAAAGCTAGATAAAGAAGAAATAGAACACCTAAACAGACCAATTACAAGCAGCGAAATTGAAATGGTAATTAAAAACCTCCCCAAAAACAAAAGCCCAGGACCTGATGGATTTACAAATGAATTCTACCAAACATTCAGAGACGAATTAGTGCCTATCCTTCACAAACTCTTCCAAAAAATTGAGAAGGAAGGGACAATACCAAACACGTTCTATGAAGCCAATATTACACTAATACCAAAACCGAATAAGGACAACACAAAAAAGGAAAACTATAGGCCAATCTCCCTAATGAACACTGATGCAAAAATCCTCAATAAAATTTTAGCTATCAGAATCCAACAATGTATCCATAAGATAATTCACCACGACCAAGTTGGATTCATTCCAGGGGCACAAGGATGGTTTAACATCCGAAAATCAATCAACGTTATCCAACACATCAACAAAAAGAAATATAAAAACCATATGATAATATCAATAGATGCTGAGAAAGCTTTCGACAAAGTGCAACACCCATTCATGATAAAAGCCCTTGAAATTCTTGGGATACAAGGAACATACCTCAACATCATAAAGGCCATCTATGACAAGCCAACAGCCAGTATCATTCTCAATGGTGAAAAGCTGAAAGCAATTCCATTAAGATCTGGAACAAGACAAGGATGTCCACTCTCACCACTGCTTTTCAATATAATACTGGAAGTCCTAGCCAGAGCAATAAGACAAGAGAAAGACATCCAAGGAATCCAAATAGGAAAAGAAGAAGTCAAACTATCACTATTTGCAGATGATATGATAATATACATAGAGAACCCCAAAATCTCCACAGAAAAACTAATTCAACTCATCAATCAATTCAGTAAAGTGGCAGGATACAAAATCAACACGCAAAAGTCAGTAGCCTTCCTATACACAAACAATAAATCTGAAGAAGAAGAAATCAAAAAAACCACCCCTTTTATTATCGAAACAAAAAAAATCAAATATTTGGGAATAAATCTAACAAAAGAGGTAAAGGACCTATACAAAGAAAACTATAAAACACTGTTAAAAGAAATAGAAGAAGACACAAAGAAATGGAAAGACATCCCCTGCTCATGGATTGGAAGAATAAACATTATTAAAATGGCCATCCTACCAAAAGCAATATACAGATTCAATGCTATTCCAATCAAAATCTCAATGGCATTCTTCAAAGAAATAGAACAATTATTGATGAAATTCATATGGAATCACCAAAAACCCCGAATAGCCAAAGCTCTACTGAAAAAAAAAGAAGGAAATGGAGGCATCACACTCCCAGACTTCAAACTATACTACAAAGCCATAATCATCAAAACTGCATGGTATTGGAACAAGAACAGACATACAGACCAATGGAATCGAATAGAAAATCCAGAAATAAACCCACAGATTTATGGTCAACTAATCTTTGACAAAGGAGCAAAGACTATGCATTGGAGCAAAGAAAGTTTGTTCAATAGATGGTGCTGGGAAAACTGGGTCGCTACATGCAAAAGAATGAAGCTTGACCACTACCTCACACCATACACAAAAATCAACTCAAAATGGATTAAAGAACTAGACATAAGACCTGAAACCATAAAATACATAGAAGGAAATATAGGCGAAACACTACGGGATTTGCACATCAAAGACATCTTTACAGACACATCACCCAAAGCAGTGATAGTGAAGAGAAAGATAAACAGCTGGGACTACATCAAATTAAAGAGCTTCTGCACAGCAAAAGAGACAATAACAAAAACAAAGAGAAACCCCACCAACTGGGAGAACATTTTTGCACCCAACACTAATGATAAAGGACTGATCACAAAAATCTGCAAAGAGCTGATGAGACTCAGCAACAACAAAGAAAATAATCCAGTCAAAAAATGGGCAGAAGAGCTAAAAAGAAACTTCTCTGAAGAGGAAATGCAAATGGCCAACAGACATATGAAAAAATGTTCAACATCACTTGTCATCAGGGAAATGCAAATCAAAACTACCATGAGATACCATCTCACACCAGTGAGAATGGCACATATTAAAAAAACTAGCAACAACAAATGTTGGCGAGGATGTGGAGAAAAAGGAACTCTTCTGCACTGTTGGTGGGAGTGCAAACTGGTCCAACCACTATGGAGAGCTGTGTGGAGATTTCTGGACCTACTAAACATAGAGCTTCCATATGATCCAGCAATTCCACTCCTAGGTATTTACCCAAAGGACACAGAAACATCAATTCCAAAGAGCACCTGCATTCCTATGTTTATAGCAGCACTGTTTACAATAGCTAAGCTTTGGAAACAACCCAAATGCCCAAAAATAGATGACTGGATCAAGAAGATGTGGTACATATATACCATGGAATATTACTCAGCATTCAAAAAAGATAAACACATGCAATTTGCAGCAACATGGATGGCACTGGAAGGGATCATGCTCAGCGAAATAAGCCAAAAAGAAAAGAAAAATACCGGATGGTCTCACTCATAGCAGGAATCTAGAAAACTTAAATAAGGGACCAGGAAAATGAATATAAGAAAGTGAAAATCAAAATCAACAAAAACTATGAACCAGAGACACTTTTTGGGGGGTGGCGGGCGGGAGGGGAAGGATTGGGGTCAGAATGGGGCGTTTGCAATTGTATGGGGGAATATAAAAATAAAATTTAATATTTGAAAAAAAAAAAAAAAAAAAAGAGTAAGAATTACCATTTCACTGTGTGGTTACAGTCAACTACTGTATGAAACTACAAAACAAGACCCAACCTCCAGGGGACACCCTGGTGGTGCAAGGGGTTAAGTCACAGCACTATGAGGCTATCCACAGCAGCCACTGCAACAAGAGTTTGATCACCAGCCAGGGAGGTGACCCACATGGCGCAGCTGACCTCTCCTGTCTTGCCTGCTGCTCCCCTCAGCAGTGTATTTCAGTCAGTCCGCCTGTTCTGTTCCCTACTCTGTCTCTGGTGAATCCTCTTACCACCCCCGCACCCCTGACCTTTACCCCAGTTCTTGTATGCATAAATAAATCAATCTTTAATTAAAAAAAAAAAAGACCCAACCTTGCTCTGTGGACAAATGTATCTGACTTACAGATGACAGATGGCTAACCAAAAGTCATTTCAGAGACTATTCATGACAGGAGTTGCAAATTCCAAGAATTAAAAAAAAAATAAATTAATTAAAAAAACATTTCCTTAAAAATTTATCAAAAAACTTATAGGGAAAAAAAAAAAAAAGAATTCCAGAGGAGTGCGACTACAAAAGAAATATTTTGAAACCTCATTTACCCCCAAGATGCACCTTCACCTGACTTATTAAAGCAGAGTTCAATCAAGAATAATACCCGACACATCAGCTAAGAATTGTCAAAGAAATGGGCGCTTCATGAGAAAACAGGGAGCTCTTGGCTAGATCAAAGACAAGTAAGTCACAGTTCATCAACTATAAAGATACCTAGGCCTTGCTGCTCCCAAACCATCTCAAGGTAAAAAAGATTTCAATTTGATTAAATATGGAATCAAATGGAAAATATCCCAAATAACTTATCTAAGCTACATATTTCTTGAATCTTGATTATGCTACCAGTCAAAAACTCTGCTCCACAATGTTCTCCATCACCCCAGTTATCCAAGTGAGAAAATGGGTGAGAAAGGAAGAGCTTACTCTGGGCCTCCCCAGTGGTGCAGCGGGTTGAGCACCACGCTGTGAAGCTGTCCACAGTCTCTGCAGCACCAGTTCAATTCCAGGCTGGCCAGGCAGAATCCCACATGGCAAGGCAGACCTCTCCTGTCTCACCTGCTGCTCCCCTCAGCAGTGTATTTCAGTCAGTTTGCCTGTTCTGTTCCCCACTCTGTCTCTGGTGAATCCCCTCACCCTCCCGCATCTCTGACCTGTACCCCAGCTCTTGTATAAATAAAAACAAATCTTAAAAAAATAAAAATTAAAAATAAAAATTTAAAAAAAAGAAAGGAAGACAGCTGAGTTGCACAACCACAGAGGTACCATTTACATTACAATCTATGAACAGTACCTCTAGAATTGTGCAGCACACAACCAGTACATTTCACCTTCAAGCTCCCAATCCTCCAATGCAGGGAACCAATGTGGCCCTCTCTCATTTTAATTTTCCTTTACCAAGGACTCCCACAAGGAATAACTCCCTTGGGACCCTGTATTATCTTTAGTCTCAATTTCAGTCTTCCCCGAGACCTCAATATACCTTGCAGCACACACAGAAAGCCTTGAGGGGGTTCAACCCCAGCCAGCCACTGCTACCACAGTCCCGGAAGCGGTCCATGAACTGTGTGTACAAATCTCGCTGGATCTTAGAGAGCCGCACCAGGATCACATTTTCTTCCTTAGCAGGAAGATGAATCTTCAGCACAGTGTGACCTCTCCTACAGAGGAAGAGATCAGAAATGATAAGGTCGTGTGGCCAAGAGGGATCAGGCCAGGGTAAAAACAGCACCCTGAACTTATGCACACTTCCCTCTTGAAGATCTCAACACTACAGTCTTGCAATAATGAGGACTGGTTCAGTGAAACATCAGGAATAAATCCATCTTAAGGATAAAATATAAAACAAAGAGGCAGAATAACCTGTCCCAGGTCACTGACTGTATTCCCACTGACAGGGGAAATCTAGGTTCTTACTCCAATTCAGGACTGTCTGTCTCTGAGCTTCCTTCACACATGCCATATTAAGAAGGAACAGGAGACCTGCTTTTAACTCTCCTAAGCCACAACTTGCCTAGATGCTGAAACTGATGAGGCCATCTAACCACCACTTCTATTTGTTCACTCATCTTATCAGAATACTAGCTCTCTCTTGCTTCCCTCAGCAAGTAAAGCAGGTGACCCCAGTAAACCTCAAAGATTAACTTTTGAGAGAAGCACCCCTGAGCCAAACATTCACAAAAATGAAACAGTGGGGTCTCCCTGGTGGCGCAAGGGGTTAAGTGCCACACTGTGAAGCAGTCTGCAGCCTCTGCAGCACGAGTTCGATCCCCAGACGGCGGGAGAGAGACCCACATGGTGCAGCAGACCTCTCCTGTCTTGCCCGTTGCTCCCCTCAGCAGTGTGTTTGGGTCGGTCTGCCTGTTCTGTTCCCTGCTTTGTCTCTGGTGAATCCTCTCACCCCCCTGCATCTCTGGCCTGTACCCCAGCTCTTGTATGCATAAATAAATCAATCTTAAAAAAAAAAAGAACTAGAAAAATGAAATTGTATATGCATTATTTGCTAGCCCTTCACACAAAGGCAAGTCTTACTATTGCCCCATTGGGAAGGGGCATTCCTACTGTATCAACATTTTCCCTTCAAAACAGTATGGGGGGGCCTCCCCTGGTGGCGCAGCAGTTGAGCACTGGGCTGCGAGGCTGCCTGCAGCCTCTGCAGCACCGGTTCGGTCCCCGGCTGCCGGCGAGGGTCCCACAAAAAACAAAAAACAAAAACAAAAAAAAACCAGTATGGGGAGGTGCGTCCTTGGTGGCGCAAGGGGTTAAGACTCAGCACTAGAAGCTATGAAGCTACTGGCAGCCACTGTAGCACGAGTTCGATCTCCAGTCAGCTAACCCACATGGTGCAGCAGACCTCAGACCTCTCCTGTCTTGCCTCCCTGCTCTGCTACCCTCAGAAGTGTACTTCAGTCAGTCTACCTGTTCTGCTCCCCACTCTGTCTCTGGTGAATCCTCTCACCGCCCCCACCCCCACATCTCTGGCCTACACCCCAGCTCTTGTATGCATAAATAAAATAAATCTTTAGAAAAAAAAAAATAGTATTAGCGGGCCTATTTGATTGTGTACTCTCAGACAACAGGGCCCTGAGAATGACTCACCTCTGCACAAAGCCTTCCAGGAGGCTGTGCAGGACATGGCTCCGGTACCTCATGAGGCGAACATCCTGAGGTGTGCTGTCAATACACTGTCCATTCAGGATGGGGCGTTCAAACATGTTGCTGAACTCCTGCCGGGTGCCAAGGAAATCTGGACGCACAAAGTCCACCATGCACCAGTATTCAATGAGGTTGTTCTGCAAAGGGTACCCGGTCAGCACCACCCGGCGGCGAGAGCGAATGTTCTTCAGGGCCTGTGAAGTGCTGGCCTGGCAGTTTTTGATGCGGTGTCCTTCGTCACAGATCACCACATCAGGGCCAGGGCGGCATAAGGCCTTCTCAAACTCTAAGGAGGGAAGAGGATCCGGAGTCAGAGGGTGAGAGGGCCTGCTCTTAGTCAACAATATGAGAAGGAGGGGTGCACCCTGGAGGAGACAGAAGAAATGAAGGAAGCAGGAAAGCAAGAGTCAGCCCCCATTGGTGAAAGGGAGCCAGCCATTCAAGCTCCTGCATATCTGGTATGACACATTATGTCAGGTCTGCTGACTCTTGCAATAAACATCCCTTTTCCCTTCTCATTTTTTTCCCTGTTAGATTAAAAGTAAAACAAACTGTGTTCCTAGAGCTTACACCAACTGGGCAATAGAAAGCCATGACTTTAGAGAATACCAGCCTAGGATTAAAAGTGTGTCTGGATGAAATTGGTTAAGACAGACACTCAGCTCTCACCATTGTAAGCATCTTGGTGCCATCTGTTGGCTGGCTGGTGGGAGCTACCTAACGGATAAGGTCTTCCTGGAGTTACTTGCCAGACACAGCTAAGTGGCAAATTCATCCCAGCTACCACAGAAGCAAACCTAGAACAAACATAACTCATAGATGAAAATACCTATAAAATGAAGCAGCCTCAGAACCCTTAAAAACTTTCTTCCCCAAATGGGCAAAGGCAACAAAACTTAAAATTATGAGAGGAATGACTTTCACTATAAGCAATTGGATTAAAAATCTCTTTTTATTAATTCACAAACAATGTAATTATTACTCTGTATGTTTGAGATTTAAATACTTTATATTTTATCATTGCTTTCTCAGAACATGTCTTGGAAGTGGTAAGAGGAACAATTATTCTCCCAACTGGTCTGAGAGAAACAGTCAACCAGGCAGCGGAGTTTACCCTGCACCAGTGTGTGGCCTGGCCTCCCCTGAATGCCACTGCCTGCAGAGAAAGCATCTTGAGAGCCAGTGGCAATCACCTCCCCTATGCTGGTGATCAGGATTTCTGGTTCATGACAAGTGTTCACATCACTAATGTTTCACATTTGACTAGGTGCTATTGTAGACACATTCTATTCCCCTGAAATGACCCCATGATGGGCTCCCCACCTCTCCGAAACTCCTGCTGCCGATCTTCCTCATCCAGGTCAATGATGACTGGGTGAGAGCGTTTCTTGGTTTTCTTCGGTCTGCCTGTGGCAAAGGATTTCTTCAGGGTGAGGAGTCTGTACATTTCGTACCCCATCAGCAGCACTCCCCCCTCTGACACCCAATCAGCCATAACTTTAGCACGAGCCGCCATTGTCCTGCAAGAGTGAAGAAAGAAAGTATTATTACTTCCATTGCTCCCCAGGAAGACTATCTCACAATCAAAGCTGTTTTGATATATTTTCAAAACTCATTGCCAAAAACTTCATGTGGGCAGTGGCATAGGACTGCTCAAGGACTTTCCCAGCAATCTAGAAATACTAATTGCATTAAGGGATGTTTATTGCTGATGACAGTTAAATAGCAAAAACCAGAAACTCAATGGCACAAGGTAAGCAATAATGATAACCCCTTGGATGGGGGTTAGAATTTCAAGTTATCCCTATAATAAATATAAAGGTACTAAAAGCAAGAGCAACATTCTGTTTCAAATACCCAGGCTACTGTGACTATAGAGCCACAAATAAGCCCTAAAGGAGACAGAGAAGCAGAAACCAGATGAAACTCATACAGTCCCTCCCTTACTCAACAGCTGGGCCCTGGTCGTATTTCCCTAATCACATACACAAATCCTGAGTTCTAAGAAAGAAGAGCAGGTGAGCAACCACCTGTGGGGCCACTCACGGCATCCTCATTTTGATACATGTGACCTGACATCATAAAAGAAGTCTCTGCAGAAGAGAGGCTACCTTGTCAATTATCCTTGCTAATGACCAGAAGGGTAATCTGCATAGTTTGCTTGCACCAAGAAATATCTTTAGATTTTTGGAAATCACGTTGAATTTATGGAAGGGAAATAAAATCAATTTTATTTAAATCTAAAACAAGCAAAAAAAAAGATTAGCACCTTTCCAAGTTTAGAAGTTGTACCATTAAAGGTCAACTGTAGATCAGTGCTTAAAAGAACAGACTGATGATTAGGTTTCTAAAGAAAGAGAAACGTAAAATGTAAAATGTTAGAAGATGGACAGTTTCATTTCATCATATTAAATTTTATTACTATACACATAGTAAAATATGAGCATGCATGAAGATTTTCAGGATATAAGAGCATCCTCATGCGGAACATAAGAACTCTCCCAGGCTACATAACTCAGCTTTATGGAAAAGCTAGGTAGGAAAAATGGATAGTAATAAGAAAGAAGGAGACATATGAAGAAACCAAAAGGAATCTTGGAGTACAGAGCACATACCAAATAGACTGCCTTGATATCCGGGTCCCTGGAAGAAGTCTAAAAGAAATGGGGCAAAGAGGAGAGGGCTAGCCACCTACTTGTGCTCATCATTTAAGATGTGAACTTTAAAGAACCGAGGCTGGACTTCTTCAGGCTTGTTGTCAGCTGGAAGGGCCTCAGGAGCTGGGATCCACATATTGAACTCTGCTAGCCAATTTTGAAGCGTATTAACCTGTCAGAAAGTCAAGTCCAAGAATAAACTCAGAACATCAAACTCTTTAGTGTCCAATAAAGCATTATCCAGAGCTCTTCAGTGGCATGACTAAGCGGTACCTTTCCAAACTCTTACCGGCACAATGGCAAGGACAGTTTTGGCTGGCGTGTGGCGGAAGAGGACATCAATGAAAGAGATCACTTGCAAAGTTTTTCCCAGACCCATGCTGTGGGCCAAGATACAGCCAAAGCCACTACTGGTCTTAAACCTCTCCAGGGACTCAACCAGGTTATCGTACAGGAATCGGATCCCACCAATCTGACAAAACAAAAAACCACCATGTCAGAGGGGCTGGTCAAAGACCGGGGTACTTGCATCCATTTTGGAATTAGTCAGAATTAAAATAAAGGGATACAACACCAGACTGCTGGTGTGGATGGTTACAGAAATCCCTCTGTACCCTCTCCAGTCTACTGTCTGGTGACAGTCTTTTGTAGAAGACACAAAAAATTATTTATCTAGTACCCTCAGAGGTAAGAATGTGCAGTAGCAAATTCCTGGCGGGGTCTTTCACTGAGATTTGGCTTGGCTGCCCTTGGCTGATCACTTCAAGGCAATCCATTCCATAAGGAGCAGTTCTTACTGTTAGAGACCTTGTGTTGAATCAACCTCAACTTTCCCTCACTAATCTATGCGTCAACGCATACTATTCTATTCTGTTCCTTCCTATAACAGTCCCTCAACTTCTCCAGTCTCTTCTGGAGTCACAACTTCCTACTCAAAGCACTGTTCCCCAAAGAACATTTTAATCCATCTTCCAAATCTCAAAGAAAGAGGCTCAAGATTATTAAGCGTCTTGCTTTCTACATGAGAAGGCAAACCTGAGGCCCATCCTATCCCACCCAACAGGAAGCATGAAGCATCAGTTGCTCATGGCACCAAACTAGTACTTCACAGGTTCTGATGCTAACCACCACCAACAGGTGATGTTCCATAGCAAGGAAGCTAAAAAGAAATGGAGAGTCAAGAATTGCTGCACCTGATGAGGTTTCACTGCCCGTGCCAACTGTGGGGCCAGGAAGACATTCTCCTCCTCTGGAGGGTGGTTCAGGTTGACAAGGACCCGCCCTAGAGCATCACGCTGGTTTAAGACATCATTCACGTGGGTACCACCCTTCTCCTCTTCTTCATCCTCCTCACTGACAGACTCACTGCTGTCTACAATGTGCAGAGTATCTTCCTCTCCAGAGCTCAGTTCTATCACCTCTGAGACAGCCAACAAAACAAAAGAAATTTTGTTTATTTTGGGGGACCAGAGATCATTTATTGCATATTGTGAAAGCAAAAGCATGGCAACAAAGAACTTATCATCATTTACAAATATTTCAATTGTTATTATTTCTCTCTTCTATTTTCTTGTTAAGACAGAGCAAAACTTACATTTAACATGGAAACTCAAGGAAATTTGTCAATCAGACCGCAAACGGAATGTAAACAGACTGAATTCTTTTCTATTCAAAGATAAAACCAACCTCTCAGAGTGAACACTGGGTAAGGAGAAAGAAAAGGGACTTGATCTTACCATCTCGACTGCTTTTTTCATCCTCACTGCCACTGCTACTGTCCAAACAAATGACTTCCTGGGTCAAGACCCGAGGAGGCAGTTGAGGACCATCACTTGCTCTTAAGACAATTTCCTCTAGGAAAAGAAAGACGGACAGGATTGTCAAAATCACACTTAGCCCAAATATATTGCCCAAAATGACTCACCATCCATCTACTTTTATTGCTCAAAAGGAACTGTCCCCTGAGGAGAGAAGTAGAAGGCATCTCAAAAACCTCAGCCACTTTTCCAAATTTTTTTTCCTCTACTGGTTCTTACTTCCTGGTATCCACTAGACCACTAGAAAAGGTCTTAATTCCTTGGCCTATTAAGATCCAAAGTTATTGAGGAGGAACACACAGGCAGAAATCTATAGGAGATAAACTTAGATTTTTAACAGCTTAACTATTTATACAAGTTCCTTCTGATTGTGTGCTCCCAAGAAGCTGAATGACTCAAAAGGATTCCAGAGAATTCACGACTTTACTCCAGATCTGTCCCTGACCACTGTGCAAGGCAAGATCATCTTCTTCCTGCAGTACTACCTCAACTGCTTACCAGGCAGGAACTCCAGGGGGACAGTGGGAATGGGGGCTGCATAATCCTTCCTCTGCTGCTCCAGGCGTTTTCTTCTTTCCAACTCCTCCTGTTGTGCTGCTTTGGTAACAGGCTCCAACTGATCTTCCCGGAGCAGCTTTCTAAACATTAAAACAAAAGAGAGCATTTGGATTCACTTGAGATTTGGACAATGTAATATCAAGTTAAAGAGGGAAATCATCATTGCTGAGCTCAGAGAACTGAGGAGGAAGTGAAGCCACATAGCCCATTTACGTTCATATATTAGGCAGGGTGGGGGGGAAAAAAAGTTGGGAGGGAAGACTCCAGTGGCTCTGAACTAACATATTTTTCATATTATTTATTTATTTAAAAGATTTATTTATATATGCATACAAGAGCTGGGGTACAGGCCAGAGGTGTGGGGGGATGAGAAGATTCACCAGAGACAGAGTGGGGAACAGAACAGGGAGATTGACTGAAATACACTGCTCAGCAGAGCAGGTGAGTCGGGAGAGGTCTGCTGCACCATGTGAGTAGCTTCCTGGCCAGCCAGTGATCAAACTCGTGCTGCAGTGGCTGCAGACAGCCTCATAGGCTGCGTCCTAACCCCTTGAAGTACCAAGGAGGCCCGTACTTTTCATATTATTTAACTACTTGACATATTATTTAACTGCCCACACATCTCTGCATATATATAACAGATCAAGAGTAAAATAGAATAATGTGATTCATATATGTGATCATAATATGGGATTTCATAAAGCTGAAAATTAGTATTTAAAAAGAGTTGTTATATGGAAAAACAGGATTATGAATGATTCTACATCCTTATTTCCCAAACTTAGAGTAGTATTTTCAATTTCCCATTATGTTTAAAAAAAAAGAGAGAAGAAAAAGATGGGGGTAGGAAGAGAAAAAGGCATCATTAACCTCCTTTCAATGACAAAATTATTTGGTAGATGGAAGGACTGTTGGGGATTTGAATAGTTAAGGAAGTTTACATCTGCTGATCTCTTAGCTCAAGGAATAAATCCTGCTTTGGAGCAGTTCCCCACCAACTCGAGTTCTAAGAAGATGAGAATCCAATTTATTTTAAATCCTCTTGCTTTGAGAGAAAATAAAGGAAGAAACAAGATTCCAAACAAAGCAACCCCATCATCCTTTGGGTTGCCACCCAGGGCCTCAATGAATGAGACACTCTCCAGTGGTGGCCAAATGCCATCCACATCCTCTATACAACTTCTGACAACCAGGCCCACTGGATTTTCACTATTAGTGGGGGCTCACAGCTTATACTTTTCTCCTTTGGATAGTGGACTCTCCTGCTCAAACCACTACTTCTGATACTGAATGTCTTAAAGTGAGAGGGATTTGTGTAACTCACTCCCTCTTCTCAGACCCTGAGCACAGCTTACCGTATATTTCTCCTCATATGGGAAGGCTTCTGAGCTCTCTTCTTTTTGGGGTCCTCAGAGGCTTGGGGGCGTCTAAGCTGCTCTGAAGGCTCAGACTGAGATGAGGTAGTTGAAGTGCACCGCGGTGGCCGCTGCCCATCTTCCCCCAGCTGGGCACAGTCAGTGCCACACATGTCTTCCAGGGATGGATCTGAAAAGACAGCGGTAAGAAGTGCCAGGGGCTGACCTTTACTCAGGTTATGGGTTTTGATTCCAGACACACCTCAGTTCAAATCTCAGCTAGCTACTTACTAGCTAGTGATCTAAGGCAAGTTACTTATTTCTCTCTGATCTTTAACCGATGTTTCTATAAAATGAGAATAGTGGAGCTCACATTTCAGAGCTGTTATGAAGACTAGTGTGCATGCCTAGAACAAAGTCTAGCCTAGAGTAGACCCACATTGAATGACAGTCATTACCACTCTTACTATAATTTCAGCACTACAGTCATAGTGAGGAAACTTCACAGCCTCAGACTTCTCAGAAAGGAAGTGGGTTGCAGTTGTTCACATTCATTTGCGTGAGTCTAAGCACATCTCATCTCCCAACGGGAGAATATCTGTCCTTTCACTGTCTTAAAATATTCACTCATTCAACTCACTAGCCAATTAAAGAGGGCTTACAATATGGCAAAAAAAAACTTTAAGGGATATTTATGTACTCCTTCCCTTCAAGGAATCTGTTTTCCAGACGTAAGGCAAGAAAGCTTATCAACACATCAGGGCCTCCCCTGATGGCGCAGTGGTTGAGCGCCAGGCTGCGGAGCTGCCCGCAGCCTCTGCAGTGCCGGTTCGATCCCTGGCCACTGGCGAGGGTCCCACGTGGCACGATAGACCTCTCCTGCTGCTCCCACTGTCCCCCCTCAGCAGTGTATTTCTGTCGGTCAGTCTGTTCTGCTCCCTGCTCTGGCTCTGGTGAATCCTCTCACCCTCCCGCACTTCTGACTGTACCCAGTGCTTGTATAAATAAATAAATGAATCTTTTAAAAAGAAAAAAAAAAGCTTAACACATCAGTTTTCAGCTCAGAAGTAATTAGTTAAACTAATAATAATTATGTCACAGATATACAAAAGACAATACTTCATGAAATTATCATACATGAAATAATATGGGGGGTAAAATTTGAGTGAGACCTTGAAAGGTAAGCAGAATGTCTAAAGATACTGCCTTAGGATAGGCGAAAAAGGAAAGAAACTCCTGGCAGGGAGAAAATCATTTGTGGCATCAACCACTAGCAAGAACTGGGTTGGGTTAAGAAGATTCATATGCACAGCCCTCTCTCCTCAGTTGGCTGAAACATATCTGTTCACTGGGTGGTAGGCTTTGGTGTCACATAGACCACAAGCCTGTCTCAAATCCACCAAAGCCTCCCAGACACAGCATGACACCACTATAAGTTAAGAGAAATTCAAAACTTGAACATAAATGCCATAACTGAGATATTCTAGTTAATGCCACTTGGTGCTCAGACAGGAAGGACTCAAGAAGTTTGGTTTTTTGGTGTTATTATTTTTGTTTTTAATTAATCTTTAAAGTTTACTTGAATTTCACCAGCTTTCCACAAATGTCCTTTTTCTGTTATAGATTCCCTTCTAATATATCATATTACATTTAGTTGTCATATCTTCTTAGTCACCCCTAAATTGGTGGTTTCTCTGTTTATTCTTGTCCTTATGACCCTGATCCTTGTAGATGTATTACACAGACTGTCCCCCAATTAGTCTGACATTTTTTTGTGACTAGATCAGGATTATGGCTTTTGGGAAGAATACCACAGAGGTGCAGTGTTCTTCTCATTTCATCTTATCAGGGCTACATGATATCAACAAGTCTTATCACTGGTGATATTAACCTTAATCACTTGTTTAAAGTGGTGTCTGCCAGACTTCTTCACTGAAAAATTACAAATCTCTAAGCCCAGCCCACAAACACAAGGAAGAGAATTAAGATCCTTTTCCTAGAAAGAAAAGAATCAAAGAATTTCCGGACCTTTGTCAAAATCACACATCAAAAAATGTTTGGGGGAGAGATATTTTGAGGTTATGCAAATACCCTATTTCCTAAAAGTTTCACCCCCTAATTATAACATTCATCAATGGATCTTACCTGAAACAATTGTTATTGCAGTTCTCCAAAGGTGGTTTTCTATTTCCTTTTTGTTTCTACCTTAGTCGGAAATTTCCTGTAAGGGAGATTTGTCCCTTCTCCCTCATGTGTTTCTATAATACAGCATTTTTTTCTGTCACTAGCGACTCAAGTGTCTAATGAGGTAACAAACATTCAACCCTATAGGCTTTGGTAGAGAGAAGTAGGGTTGCCATAGATCTCAATGAGAGAACCAGTAAACTGATGTGCCCAAGTCAAAACAAAGATGTACTGTGGGTCACCATCCTATGCACTCAATTACCACCAAAAAAATAACAAATGAGCTGTCTCACTGATCAATGTCTAGGAATTATGGGTGTCCCAGAAGTTATATTACTGCTTACTTTCTTTGACTTGGTATAGCCCATCCTTTACCATCTTGGGTTTCTTATGGTCTTTTTCATATTAATGACAGATTCTAGAATAGCAACAAGTTGGAAACTAATGTTTCATGAGAAGTAACAAAACACAGAGATTCACTAGGGACATTGAGGCCAGAATGCTACACCAGCTCTGTCCCTCACTATACCTTTCTCAGTTCCTCAATTATGAAAAGGGAGTAACAACTATCCTATTATTCCTTAACCTCAGAGGGTTGTGGAAAAAGCCTAAATAAAGCACTAAAACAATGCCTATCAAAATTCCTATACACACTTTATAAACAGCTAGTCCCTTTACTATGACTACAACTATTTCAGGTATAAGGAATGAATTTGGCTTATCTCCATTCTTCCTTGCAATAACTCTACGAGGTAAGTTTGGCTCTCATCATTTTAAAACTAAAGCCCTGATAAGTTAAAAATGACTTGTCTGTGGGTATATAAGAAGTAAGCAGGAAACAGTTCAGATAATGAGCTTCACAGTCAAAACAGTCCTGGCACCAAATCCTATCTTTGCCACTTATTACCTCTATGTTCATAGGTTCAATTTCTCTTAACCACACTTTCCACATTTGTAAAACAGGGATGTTATTAGCTCTTTCATGGAAAATGGTCTTCAAATCCAGGTCTGCCCAACTCCATGGAACTCCACATTCTTAACTACAGTGAGCATTCTGGGAGCATACAAAACTCTAGGGCAGGCTTGATCAGTCAGGCTGGGTAGCAGTGTTTGTTTGGAGAATTCAAATTTCAATCATATATCTTTTTTTTTTTAATTAATATTTTATTTTATATAATTCTTTTTTTTTTTTTAAATCTTAAATTTTATTTTTATATTCCCCCATACAATTGCAAACGCCCCATTCTGACCCCAATCCTTCCCCTCCCGCCCCCCACCCCCCCCAAAAGTGTCTCTGGTTCATAGTTTTTTGTTGATTTTGATTTTCACTTTCTTATATTCATTTTCCTGGTCCCTATTTTAAGTTTTCTAGATTCCTGCTATGAGTGAGACCATCCGGTATTTTTCTTTTTCTTTTTGGCTTATTTCGCTGAGCATGATCCCTTCCAGCGCCATCCATGTTGCTGCAAATTGCATGTGTTTATCTTTTTTGAATGCTGAGTAATATTCCATGGTATATATGTACCACATCTTCTTGATCCAGTCATCTACTTTTGGGCATTTGGGTTGTTTCCAAAGCTTAGCTATTGTAAACAGTGCTGCTATAAACATAGGGGTGCAGGTGCTCTTTGGAATTGATGTTTCTGTGTCCTTTGGGTAAATACCTAGGAGTGGAATTGCTGGATCATATGGAAGCTCTATATTTAGTAGGTCCAGAAATCTCCACACAGCTCTCCATACTGGTTGGACCAGTTTGCACTCCCACCAACAGTGCAGAAGAGTTCCTTTTTCTCCACATCCTCGCCAACATTTGTTGTTGCTAGTTTTTTTAATATGTGCCATTCTCACTGGTGTGAGATGGTATCTCATGGTAGTTTTGATTTGCATTTCCCTGATTGCAAGTGATGTTGAACATTTTTTCATATGTCTGTTGGCCATTTGCATTTCCTCTTCAGAGAAGTTTCTTTTTAGCTCTTCTGCCCATTTTTTGACTGGATTATTTTCTTTGTTGTTGCTGAGTCTCATCAGCTCTTTGCAGATTTTTGTGATCAGTCCTTTATCATTAGTGTTGGGTGCAAAAATGTTCTCCCAGTTGGTAGGGTTTCTCTTTGTTTTTGTTATTGTCTCTTTTGCTGTGCAGAAGCTCTTTAATTTGATGTAGTCCCAGCTGTTGATCTTTGCCTTCACTATCACTGCTTTGGGTGATGTGTCTGTAAAGATGTCTTTGATGTGCAAATCCCGTTGTGTTTCGCCTATATTTCCTTCTATGTATTTTATGGTTTCAGGTCTTATGTCTAGTTCTTTAATCCATTTTGAGTTGATTTTTGTGTATGGTGTGAGGTAGTGGTCAAGCTTCATTCTTTTGCATGTAGCGACCCAGTTTTCCCAGCACCATTTATTGAACAAACTTTCTTTGCTCCAATGCATAGTCTTTGCTCCTTTGTCAAAGATTAGTTGACCATAAATCTGTGGGTTTATTTCTGGATTTTCTATTCAATTCCATTGGTCTGTATGTCTGTTCTTGTTCCAATACCATGCAGTTTTGATGATTATGGCTTTGTAGTATAGTTTGAAGTCTGGGAGTTTGATGCCTCCATTTCCTTCTTTTTTTTTCAGTAGAGCTTTGGCTATTCGGGGTTTTTGGTGATTCCATATGAATTTCATCAATAATTGTTCTATTTCTTTGAAGAATGCCATTGAGATTTTGATTGGAATAGCATTGAATCTGTATATTGCTTTTGGTAGGATGGCCATTTTAATAATGTTTATTCTTCCAATCCATGAGCAGGGGATGTCTTTCCATTTCTTTGTGTCTTCTTCCATTTCTTTTAACAGTGTTTTATAGTTTTCTTTGTATAGGTCCTTTACCTCTTTTGTTAGATTTATTCCCAAATATTTGATTTTTTTTGTTTCAATAATAAAAGGGGTGGTTTTTTTGATTTCTTCTTCTTCAGATTTATTGTTTGTGTATAGGAAGGCTACTGACTTTTGCATGTTGATTTTGTA